GATCGCTGATCCGAACCCCTGGAATCACCACCCTTGCCTGGGGCTCTGCTTTAATTAGCAGGCACTAATTACCATTTCAATCCCCGCTGGGATGTATTTTTAGCCCAAACCCAGGAGATCCATTGGGGTTTCTTTCAGCACCGGAGCCCCAAAGCCACAACCCCACGAGCACCACAAGAACCACGGGAGAACATTCCAGCGCTTCCCACACCCACACCATCCCCGGCAGGGCCAGCCAGAGCCTCCCCAATTACAGCAATTAACATCATTAATAAACCAGCCCGGCTTTCCTAACAGGGGAACCTGCAGGGGCTTGTCAGAGGAATGAGAATTTCGGGAATAATTGGAATTACAGGATGACACCGTGGGGTCTCCAGATGTTTTGGAAACACATCCAGGTGTGGGGGGACCACGAGTGTCCCTCCCCACCCCTAAAGTTCTTGCAGAACCTGGAACCAGGAAGGTGAAGCTCCATTCCCATCCAGGAAGGTGATAACTGCACCTTTATAAATTATAAATATACTACATAAATATATTATATAAATACGTATATATTATATATACTTATATTTATATAAATATATAAATATAAATAATTATAGAAATAATATATTTATTATAATTATATTTATTATAATTATATTAATTATAATTGTAATGTATTTATTATAATATATTTATTATATTAATATATTTATTATATTTATTATTATAATCCCCCCTTTCTAATTCCTCCATGGAATTATCCAGTGGGGATTTCTTATAATTATATTTATTACAATTATAATATATTTATTATATTTATATATTTATTGTATTTATTATTATAATCCCCCCTTCTAATTCCTCCGTGGAATTATCCAGTAGGAATTTCCTATAATTATATTTATTATAATTATAATATATTTATTATATTTATATATTTATTATATTTATTATTATAATCCCCCCCCTTTCTAATTCCTCGATGGAATTATCCAGTAGGAATTTCTTATATTTATTATAATTATAATATATTTATTATATTTATTATTATAATCCCCCCCTTCTAATTCCTCCATGGAATTATCCAGTGAGGATTTCTGTGGGATTTATGGCCCCCTCATTCCCCACATTCCCGGCAGGAATGCACTGCAGGAGGAGAGCAAGGAGACAGAAAATTGAATATTTCCTCCTGCGGGGCCAGCGGCAGCTCCTCACCCTCTCCTTCCAGCCTGGGAAGGTTTATCCCATTTTATGGGGTTTTTTTTCAGGTTCCAAGCCCTGCCCTCCCTCCTCTCTTTCCCAACACCTCGGTGCCTGTTTTCCTTTTCCAAGCACCCGAGAAAACGCTCGGGAGCAAGACCAGACACAGAGAGAGGAAGCAGCAGCTTCCTTCCCCATCCAAACCAATTATCCCAGCGTTGCACAAGGCTCCATCCCCACCCCAAACCTTGGGATTGGGATCCTCCACCTTCCCTGGAAATGCCCATCCCAAAGGAGATTTCACTGCAAAATCCCCAGGTGGAAAATTCCCTGGAAATCCAGGGATCCCCAGAGCTCCCCTGAGCCCAGGCATTTACATCCCATTTTATATGGAAAACACTAAAAACGGGATCACACCTTTTAAAACAGATATTTCCACCTCGCTGCAGCCCAGGCCCTGCCTCTGCCACCACCCCCCCTTCCCACCAGGCCTCAGATTTTAATTGAAAAAACGTGATTTAGGTTAATTGGCTGCAGATGAGTTACGGGGGAACATTTGATGCCGATCTGCAGATTTATGGGACTCGACCATCCCGGGTTTTGCATCCCCCTCACAGCCCCACTGCCAGAACGGCTCAGCTGGCCAAAAAAAAAAAAAAAGTAAAAAAAAAAAGTAATTAGTGTTTAATTTCTTAACAATTTTTTTTTTACCTTCCTTTTAATTGCTCCACATAAAACTGTCCTAGAATTTTACAGCCTGGCCCAGTCCTCATCGCTGGTTTTAATTAGGCTGAGGCAGGGCTGGCACTTCATTTGGAGAGGGGGAGGATGCTCAGAGCAGGCGTGGGGAAGGTTTGGCCATTCCAAGCACCCAGCAAACATCAGCAGGAGCACCGGGGAGAGGAGCAGGGTTCCCAGAGCTGGGGTGTCCCTCTGTCTCATCCTGCTCATGATTCCATGGAATTTCTGATGGAAAGGAGCAGAGCTCTCTGCCAGCAGAATTTCCTCTCCTTGAGGGCGACCAAAGCACATTTTAGAGGGAAAATGAGCTTAGGTCAGAGCAGCTTTGGGGTAATTCCCATTCCCAGCCCTTCCTCAGAGAGGGGATCTGACACCTTACAGA